TTTCATCCCTGAAAGTCAGTGGCGGAATCAGCTCGTCTCTAAGTTTGCTTCGCCTGTGGGAGTGCCTCTAATAAAAATAGGCTCGGGGCAAGGCACGCTCTCACCACGCCTGTACTTGTGAGTCTACCTCCGCGATCGTCCGCTTGCGAACACTGATCATAACAGCGCTCAGCTCGTATAGGGAATGGACGGATCTCACAAGAATCCCGTCTGGTCCTGCATCGAGGCATATGCATTTCCCATGAAGAATATAGCATGAGGGATGTGTTACTCCTTCGGAAAGGCGCAATGATGGCGGAGTTGTGTCACGGAGCCTGGCGAAAGTTACCATTGTCTGTCATGTGGAGGGTTCCTTCACAAGTGGAAGAGCCGTTACATTTCGTCTGATGCTCAATTGTTCACACTTTGCGACATTGGCCTTCATTAGACATCCCGGAAACCTTTCTTCAACTTCAAGCTTCAAGGTCCAAGCTAGACGGGCCCTGGCAGCACAAAGCTGACGACCGTCTTGAGGCGCACAAGACCGCATACGAGACACTGTACACACTAGTATCTATCTACCTCATCTCTCAAATCCCTTCACGACTTGCAGCTTGACCCGTGCCTGCGGAAGAGTGACGTGCACGAGTTCACCGGACGCGTGCTTGCGGGACTTGACGATAGTTCAGACGAAGTCAAGATATTCTGCCACAAGTTGCTCTTCCGGCTCGCACAGGTTGCGCCGACAGCAGGCGCCCAGCGGCTCGACGAGATCACCGCGCCGCTCGAGAAGAGCACGAAGGGCGTGATGGTCACTAACGACATAGTCAAGCAGGACCTCGAACGGACGGCAGAGCTTCGGCGTGGTACGCTCCGTGCGGTCGCCGCCCTCAGCGAGATCCCACCCGCGGGTATGAATCATCTTTCGATGTGTTCGTGGAGCAAACGCGCACGTCCGGGTGGGGCCATGATCTCAAGGATCTCGTTGACGGGTAACGGCCACACGGGACTAAGGGGTGGTCATGGACGTGTTCGGCAAACGCTGACTTCTGCGTCGACGCTTCTACACTGCTTACGACATAACGCCTACGCTGATGCTTGTCCTGCATTTCTGTAGTGGAGGAGGTCGCCCGAGAAACTGGGAACATCTAGTCACATAAGACTGCGCTTTCCTTTCTTTCGCTAATTGGGCGGTCAGCGCAATTGTAGACACCGTATGCCCGAGTTGATGGGGATGGCGAATGCGGAGGGTCATTAGGCAGGTTGCAGCGTTATCAGTCCTGTGGACTAGGTATACAGGCCCTATATTTAACCCAAGTACAGTGGCTTGACCGTGTGCGTGGTCAGGCTCAGGGAAATCGGACCAGCAGACAGTTGAGGTGATCAGAGGCAAAGAACGACAATAATGGACAGGTACATGCCAGCTGCTTAACCGGCGCAGCGATACTGGCCACCGCTTAGCCGCAGTATAGTAACTGTAGGGTCGTAAAAATGATACGTACTCACATGCAGAACCCTGCAGAACCCATTTCATATGAGACATACGTTTATCAACCCCCCAGTTCCACCTTCTGCATTGATCCACCTTTCTCCAGGGCCCTCTTGATAGTCAAACAGGAGGGCCGACATTCCTAACTCCACAATATATTCGCATTTCCAGCGAGTGCGGCCCTGTTGATCCGTTTCCACCGGATGATCCCAGTGAACAAATACCGCGGCGGCATTGGTGAGTATCCGGAGGTCTGACCCGGCGTCCGGAAAATATCGGTATAGAATTGCATTGAAAGTATACTCCGTGATTGTGGCCCGATCACGTGGATCTGGGTGTATCGTCATGGCGAAGTTTCGACCGAAAGGGCCATTTCGAAGGAAAAAGAATTTGTCATTCTCGAAGGACGTGGTACTTGTGAATGTCGTTTTTGTGAAACGAACATACGGGTATGTTGTGATCAGACCTTCGGGTGTACACAGAGCGCCCAATAGCACGGGATGCCCGCCATGGCCTGGGTCATCTGCATTTCTCATCAGGAACGCGTAGCGGTCCGTAAATGTCTTCGGTGCCCAATGGAAATTTGTTTGCCGCATTTTCGGTATCATGAATATGATATCTGATGGGAGGATTTGCAATTCGAGGAGGAAGTGCTTCATTCGAATTTCGCAATCTGAGGAGAGAGCCGCTAGACGGTATGCATCGACATTGAGCAGACCAGCAATCGCAAGTGTTTCGTCCGCCTCTCTGCTTGTCGTCCTCCATCTCAGGGACCAGGCTACTTGGGAAAGTCCGAAGGAGCCAAACCCTTTGTGCCCAATGCTCGCTGAGGCCATGTCGAACACTTCCTTCATGAGATTGAGGAGCTCCGATCCGAAAGCCAGTTGGACTGGGGGCGCGTCGAGTTTAAAGGTGAGGTCTCTGATATCCTGCAGATCATCAGAGAATTCAAAGACAAGCTCACGTGCCAATAGAGCCTCCTGCAGCGTCCACAGGCGCTGCATCCACCCCGAGGAGAAGACCCGCATCAGCATCTCTTCTCGTGGTGCATTGGCTGAGCATGATCGGATGCCGGAGTCAACGACCAATACGATAGAGGCCTCCCTGTATGTCTGCGCCATCAGACCGATCGCTTTCCTTCTCCTAGCTGTGTCTCGCGGGACGCACAAAGAGTCCATCCAAATGGCTGCATCGGGCGATAGCTGGTGAACGAGAGTTGCCAGCCTCTGGAGTTGACATGTCGGAAGACCTTGGTCTGTGATACTGCCCATTCCGTCTGCCCATACATGCGAGATGGCCACATACGGGATATTAGGGGACGAGGGACAGACTTCCAGGTCAAGTCCGGTGCCGGAGATAGTGGAATGTCTGATTTTAATTACAGGTATTTGGTTCCTTGATAGGATGTCCAAGACATTCTCCAACGATGGTTTCGTGTACTCACAGCGGCAATCTGCGGAGCAGTGCTTTGTGGAATATTCGTTTACATTGATGGAATCCAATGTACATGTGTACATCGTACAGTTCGGGTGCCCTTTGTGCACGGCATCGTGACGAAAAAAGGGTTCACGAGTGCTCGCATAAACTAGGCCGCAGATTGATGAATTGGCCAGTCGGGAGACAGTGAATGGACACCATCCTTGTGCTATCATCTTGCGATCGACAATCCGGTTGGTGCCAAACATGGTCGTCCAAGTCCACAATTTCTTCGGCCACAATTCTTTAAAGAGGCCGCATTTGATGGATAAGGCTTCTGCGATGGCGGCGCATAGAATCTGAATGTGATCAATGTGATCCTGCGAGAGCTTTGCTCTGTGGAAAGGGCTTGATTGACGCCATACGATATTGCCTTCTATGACTCGACGGACCCCTCCAAAGGTCTCTAAAATCCGGTCAGCCCATAGAGAAGCCGTCCCTGGAGAGAGTTGGTACGCGGCCAAAATGCGGTCCCTGAAGTCCTGGAGGATTAGAGGAATATTGGCGGTCGTCATGAAGATGGCATCGTCTATAGTGCGCTTTAGCAAAAGGATCTCGGGGATTGGCCGCTCCAGCACTGCTTCGATAAGCCCGAATGTCAGGCGACTTTGCTCAAGGGCCGCATACTCGGCTGGGAAAGACTTGACAAAGGTATGAAAGTCGACGTCGGACTGAATATGGGGTAACCTAGTTGGAATGTAGTCCTCCATGTCGGAGATCTCGTAACCTTCGTGTTTGGCGCCAAGCCAGACTGCATCGGGGGAGATTGTTGGGACGCCAGCCGATGTCGCCGAGGAGACGATGGACTCATCGAAGTCGTACGTGACACCAAGCCAAATCGCCTCTGAAGAAATTGTCGGTACAATGAGTGATAATGATGGAGGGCTGATGATATCATATAGCTTTATCGACCGATGCTGTGAGGCAACTAATTCACTTTGAGCTCTGCGCAAGAATTCTGAAACTCACAAGGCGTCTCGGAACCAAGTCATGTTCCAGAGGGTCCCACCGCCACATCAATATATCAAGAAGATTCCTCCCCAACGTGAAGTCGGTGACATCGCGACGAGGTTGTAGTCCTCTCAATGACGTCCCTGGCGGGAGGTGCAATTGAGCCGCGAGGAGAACGATGAGTGTATATAGCTAGATGACAATCAGACAACGAATGAGGGCCACAATGTACTGTGCTAACCCGAAAAAGGATATCCCGTTTCGTAGGTGTATCCGACCAGTACGGGCCTTTACCACTCCTACCAATGGATTCGATCGATACGGTGGCTTGAGACTGCAAACGATATATGGTTGACCTGACCTCCGAGTTCTAAGCAACAGATCGATACAGGTGTATCAGTGTCTCAAAGCAGAAGCCCTTGGGCAAGAAAAACGTACGATTCGAATATGGTCAATCGCAGGCATGAGTACGTCGAGCTGTTGCACGCAATCGCGCAGGTGTTCTTCAACGCCAGCGTCTGACAAGTCTGGTTTGGTCGGCGGGTGGAAATCGCGGGTACGTAGCTCTCGAGCAGATTCCATAGTGGGCACTAGTGACAGAGGAGAGTGTGAAGTCTTATCGTTGAACTGGCATACAAGCGTAACGAAGTCTGCTCTGGAGTTGATGCTATGCCCCTCCTGCTTCCGTACTTTGTGTATGGATTCACGGTGTTTGAGTCATCTGGCTATGCCGCATGGCATGGCTCTTTCACGTAAGTATAAAGCGCCGGTACCTCAGTCAGGGACTGGTACGTGGACGGGCGCCAGGGACCTTCGAGGCTCCATCCCAGGGAGGCCTCCTCGACGTACAATATAGGGGGAATAGAGGGCATCGTCGCATCACCGCCAACGGTATGAAGTGCGCGGATGGGGCAGTCAAAGGTCGCACTTGACCTGCATATTCGCAAATCACGCCGTTCGAGGTCTGCAGACATCGTATTGCAGTAGACATGAGAACGACCGAGCCTGGTTCAGAAAGGAGCGGCTCACGGGCCACAGATGGGTACTGAATGCTTCGGATATTATTATTGTTGGGTATAGATCACCCAAGGCACTGCTGAACATCTGCCCCATGGCTGAGTTGGTTACAGCGTCCGACTGTTATGTTCTCCTGAAGGACCTTGACATCGGAAGGTCGTGAGTTCGAGCCTCACTGGGGCAGCTAATTTTTGCCTCTCACCTGCCATCTCATTTGGCAGTTCCCCTGAGGATTGTCCGACCAGACCCCAAGCATTTTCCGCTCGACGCAATAATGTCGATTGCCCGTTGTCCTACGTTCTCCGCTCCGCCCCGCCGCCAATAGGCTGTGGAATCAGTATAGAAGGCACAGAAGTTGTGAAACGCTACAACGTAACCGACATGATTCGTACATCTCGGGCACTGTCTTCGATTTCGTCCATCCCATCTTCAACGATCCCCGTCTATCGAACGGTAGAGAGCTATCGGGCATGGCGTCGTAAGGCCTTCGAGGAGAAGAAGTCGGTCGGTTTCGTCGCTACGATGGGGGCTCTGCACGATGGTCACCTCTCGCTCGGTGCGTCCGTTACGGCATCGTGCTTCTGTTCTTCTCATCTCACCTCAACTTACGCAGTCAAAAAGTCCCTGGAGGCAAACGACTACACTGTCCTCTCCATCTTCGTCAATCCTGCACAATTCGCACCTCATGAAGACCTTGCGACATATCCCCGCACCCTTCCCCGGGATCTCGAGCAGTTGGAAACAATGTCAGTCTCGATTCCCGGCTTCGGCAGTGCAGGACCGGTTGTCCGCAAGCCAACGGCTGTATTTCTGCCCACCGTCTCGGAAATGTACCCATCGGGCATCTCACAGGACGTCACGGAGCAGAAGGGGACGTTCGTAGAGGTGAAAGGTTATGGTCACCAGATGGAGGGGAAGACCCGCCCCAACTTCTTCCGTGGGGTTGCCACTGTGGTGACGAAGCTGTTCAATGCAGTCCAGGTGCGTCTATAATCTACGTTCGACTCCAGGAGTTCTCACTGGATGGGGTATGCTCAGCCGACCCAGACATACTTTGGGCAGAAGGACATTCAGCAGGCGCTGCTACTGCGCCGTATGACCCGCGATCTCCTTATGGCACACCCATCTCCGGAGAACGTGCACATCGTCCCCACCGAGAGGTACGTAGCTGTATCGGCCGGTGGACACTGTATCAACTCAGGTCTATTTTCTGTAGAGGCAAATCCGGTCTCGCACTTTCCTCACGTAACGCATATCTGACGCCTTATGAACGGGAGCAAATTGCGCCGGCACTCAGCAAGGCGTTAAGGCAAGCCTCTGACATGTGGTCAGCAAGCCACACGACGGCCGAGATCCTGAAGGCAGCCGCGCGGGTCGTGGAGGACAAGGCCGCTCAGGCGACGGAACCTGTGGATATGCGTTTGGATTACATTCAGTTCAACGACCCTGAGACGTTCGAGCCACTCTCGGACGAAATGACGCGGAGCGAGTGGGAGACAAATGACAAGGACCGGCCGGTGCTGCTGAGTGGTGCGATGTGGGTAGGCAAGACTCGATTGATTGATAACGTCGTCTTGGGAGATACAAAGAGGCTGGGGGTAATGGTGGAAGCTTGAATACTCTTGTGGTTTATTTGAACAGAGCGAAGATCAATCAATGTAAGCTTTATTCCGGGGCTGATTAATGAACCGATGATCTGCAACTGCCAGTGAGTGCATATGTCGCATGAGATTCCTCAGTTATGTTCCTTCTCGACTCCGGGAAACTCGCCTACTAGAATCCTGCACGTAGTGAGCCTACTCAACCAGGAGTCCAGGTTTCTTGAACGTCGTATACGTCCGTCCGTTCCCCCAGTAAATCAACTTGCCAGCGTTCGTCACTGCTAGCATCCCTGTACCAACCCATCGGCTCGTAGGCGTTACCAATGTAAATCCTCACACCCATGAGTTGTGTTTAGTACTAAACCATGGATTTGGATCTTAGGGAACTAATCGACCTGAACGCGACGGCGTCGCCTATAGCTCACCCCTTCACAAAACCGAGCGCGGATGTCATACTCCGCTCGTCGGACAAAGTCGATTTCAAAGTGCATAAACTCATGTTGTCCGAAGCATCCCCCGTTTTTGAGACGAAGTTCTCACTTCCTCAGCCTTCTGGGCCAGAGGCCGAGGCGAGCGACTCTCCCCCATCCGAAACAAGCGCAATCATAAACCAGTTACTCGGGTTCTGCTATCTCATGGCTCATCCTGACTTTGGCGTCGGCAATCTAGACCAGCTCGCTGCAGTCCTGGAGACGGCACTGAAGTACGATATCTCTGCAGCTGTTACACACCTCAGACAACACCCTGTTCGCCAGGTCGTGCTAGAGGAGCCCTTCTAGGCATATAGCATAGCCTATCATCTGGAATTGTACTCTGAAGCGGAGGAGGCGGCCCGGCAGACCTTACGCATCCAATGGCCTGAGAACTTCATGGGTGACCTTGAGGCAGTACCTTCCGCAGCATTATACTATCTCATGGAGTTCCGGCGAAGGTGTTCACTCGCTGCCTTCGAGTTCGTACAGAACCCGCTAGAGTATCTGAAGTATCCCCCAAGGCCCACGCCTGTGTCCTTCTACCTCGTCGAAGGATGCAGAAACTGCTCTTACGGCTCTTACGGCTCTCACGGTCATTACTCTTGTGGGAGCATGGGCGAGTCTCTCTCGGAACACTACATCGAGAGAATCAAAGTGCAACTCCTTCCCAGACAGCAACCATCTGGCGTCTCGATCGCCTCGGATCACTATAATTCCGAGCTGCTCATTGAGTTGGGATATTCAGGAACTGTTCGTCATGTACGTTGAAGGCCATGAAGGCCCTCGAGGCGCCGGCGAACGACTTCGGGGAAGCTTTGGTTGATCTAGAAGGGGTAAGTGTGTTGAAGCTCTGCGTCAGTGGTATCCCTCAGAGACGGATTTAGCTGATGAGATGTCTTCAGAACGTGTCGCTACGTCTGGACACCGAGATTGACCACTGGGCCCAGAGTTTCCCGCGTGTGACGTTTGTCACTTCGCGTGGAGAAAGTTCATAGTGGAGCCCATGCAGAACCACTTACTAGCATCATAGTGGCGATTTATCGAAATATTTGGACATCGACATAGCGGCATTGGAATAGCCTGCCCGCAATGCCACAGCCTGGCAAAGGACTATCTCAAATGCTCAGTGCAACGAGACGATGGTCTGCACGATATTGGATTCCGAAGATGTTGTCTCGTCTCCGAGTCCCTATCGTGAATACAGAGAACTGCGCGTCTAGCACGGTCAGCGATGACCATTTGAACTTCTCTTATCACGGGCGCCACGGAACAGGCCCTGCCCCAAGTGGTAGACACGCGGATAGTAGGGTGCTGACAAGCTGCCTATGGAAGAGCAGAACGCTGTTCATCTCCGTGCAGAACATGTTTTGCGCGTGTCTCGAGTCGACGCAGCTGATTGGCTTGGCTTTGACACACACAGGACGCTGGGAAAATTTCGGTCAATGGAACGCATAATCTTGGGCTCGAGCGTTCAATAGCATGTCGTCCCTTCTTTCTAGCTAATGATGTGCCCACAAATCGAATCCATCTCCATGCGTTTGGCATGCCTAATGCCTCCGAGCATAAATGAGCACGGTTTTCTCGCGTATAGCAGGGGAGTATATGACCAAGATCAAACAAGCGAGAAAGACCAGGCCCAAGACGACGCGGTAACCAGATCAAGCTGTAAGGATCAGGGATGTGCGATGGACTGATGACACCGGGGGTCAAGGCGTGTGAACACGTTTTCAACAGAAATTGACATCGATTTATTAAGCAGGCATCGTAGTGAATATAAAAACCAAAGATTTGACCGCTTCAGGCTTGCGGAAGTAGAAGATGTAACTCCTGCTAGACATCTGCCGAATTTCGGGGTCCGAGGTCAAGCAAAACCCTGGTAAGGATTCACCATTTGAAGTCTTAGTATCATGAAAATCAGGTATATGATGTCCTCGAAGGCAATGGCTTCGCGGCTTAGCGTTCCAGGAGCTCCGAGCTGTAATTCCCCCATCGCACATCAGGAAATTCTTATATCTGCTTTGGCGCCACTTTTCCTGCTTTGGGCTACCAAAGCAGGAAAAGCGGGAGAATCCCAGTCCCATTGGACTGGGAATTTCACCTCAGTCCGGACATCTTCCGCTTACGTAATGTACTTCCTAGGCTGCTAATGTGCACGGGCGCCAAGGCCCTTTGAGGTCCCATCCCCCCGAGGCCTCCTCGACGTTCCGTGTCCTGCTGCCGCCGCTAGCATCTCGATATCATCGTGAATATCGGAAGTGATGTAGGATCTCGACCACGGATACACCGTGAGCTGTATTTTGCCAGGACTGTTGGCGCATCGGTCGGGGCTCGGACTACGTCATCTGCAGACCTTATATTACAATAGATACATCAAGACAGCGAGATATCAAGACGGACGACTCGCGAGGAGACGGAGGGAGGACTCGGGGGA